ACCAGAGATATGAAAAATTATGCTTTATATATAATATGAATTGTAATGCATTCTGCTGTCATATATAACAAATTAGAATAAAATCTTAAAAAAAAGAATTTTGAAAGTGGATGAATGAGAGTTAATGGTTAAGATGTTAATGATGCTCTCATCATTCTCTGATTCCCTGTTCCCTTTTCTCTCACCCTCTCTTCCCTTGCTCTCCTTCTTCCTGTACTTATTTTCTTCTCTCCCTCACTTTCTCATGCTTAGGCCATTGACTGTCTAGAGTACTGATTTCTGTAATCAGTGTTGGGACAGCTACTGCCACCTAGTCCTGAAGAGGAAGATGTGTGATGCTCGCTTCAGAGGAGCCCACAATTAATCCAGAGACTTTAGCAAGATCAAGGCACAGAGATCGCCTGAAGTTAAGTGCAGATTTTTTTTTTTTAAAGCCTGAAAGGGAATCAAGCCCCTAGAAGCTCCCCAAATAAGAAGTCAGATTCCTGATGCAAAAATTTGACCTTATACAGATTTTAACAGCGTGGTGAATTTTTGCAGATGGTGATCCAACCTCCACAAAGCTTCCAAATTAATCTTCTTAAAGTACATATTATAGATCATCACTCCAGGCTCTCACCAAAAATTATGTGCTCTCTCCTGGACATTTGAGCATTAAGAAGAATCTGGTGACTGGATTAAAAACAAACTGCAGTGAATTCCAGAGACAGAGCTCTTGAAGGCCATAGAAAAATCTTATCAGCCTAAGGAGAAGGGACGAAATCCATAACCCAGGAGGTACAGGTAACTTAAAGAATTTCTTTGCCACTTAAGCTTAAAGACGTCACACACTACTTTTAAATTCATATTCTATAAGGGCAATTTTCCAGTAAAGAATAGCAAACTATTTGGGTAGAAATGTGATTTTAATTTTATCATGTAACATATGCTTTCAGTTTAAATTTGTTTTTTAGAGAACCACAAGCATGGTATTTGTATATTCCCAAGTGGCATGAAATTTTAATGTGGTTGTGCAATCCTAAGAAAGCTACTTATCTGTCCCCTAATGGAGTTTGTCTTCTAAGATTCTAAACCAAACACAGCAGTCTTTAGTGATTTCCTTTTTAAAAGCCATCGTTATTTCACAGTGCTTTAACTTGGCTCCCACCAAAAAAAAAAAAAAAACATATCTCCGCTGTCTTCTCCCATGATGTGTGCCTTCAAGGCTTCTGTTGTTTATTATCCATCTTGAGGTAAGTTAAAAGTGAACCCATCTGGATCTGGAGGTGTAGCTCAGTGGTAGAGCATATTTTTCACATGCATGAGGACCCTGATTCATTCCCAGCATCAAAACCAAACAGAGTGGACCAAATTTCATGAGGAGAAAAGGCCATTAAGTGTCTAAATCTCATGGGAAAACCACATTAATAATACATAGAACCTCACTTAACATATGAAAGACAAGTTAGAAAAATACTTAGAGTACTTATCTGTTGTCTACCTGCCCTTTATCCTTTATCTTTTCTATTTTTTTTCTCTTTGTTAAAAAGCACAGCTCATATTTTTTTTCTTGCTTTCCTGTCTTTCTTTGACCATTTCTTCATCTCCTCTGCCATCCTGTAATCTATTGCCCTCTTACTCTCAGTCATTCATTCACATCTGGACACTTTGTCCTTCAGGTGTGATTTCGATACCTTTTTCTCCTTCCATTCTATCCCTTATTGTAATTATCACTCAATCTTCTCTCTCTGCCTCTGTTGCAATGTCCTTAGAGTTTGCTCCCATTCATTTTCTCTAAACTTTTAGGTTTCCAGCTTTCACAAGAAGAATAACGGAAGGAGGGTGGTTTTTTTTTTTAAAAATAGAAAATCAGTTTTTGTGAGGCATTTGGAGTTCCCCTTTGATGTACAGCTATATAGAGTGCTCTATTAAAACTGGGTATTTCTCTCTATAAGAATACACATAAAACCACCCTTTCTTAGGAAGAGAATCAGAATCTACTGAATCACAGAATTTTGAAAGCTAAAAAGAGATCTTGAAAACCATCTAACACTACCTCCCATTACTTTATGGATGGGGAGAAATAAGAATCGAAGGTTATTGATCCTTCTTTCCTTGCATCAAGTTATGTATTTTGTAATTCTGCTGCTGTTGTTATTGCTGTATGTTTCTTAAGTATAAACTCATATCCATCCCAAGAGTTATCTATTCAGTTTAATATCAGAACTATTTACGAAGCACTTCCTTCATGCCAGTCCTAGGCAGAAAAAAAAAAATAATGAACATGACAGAGCATCATATATCTTCCAAGTGCTTTGTACTCCATCTCATTTAATAGCTAAGCTCTGACATAGACAAATAAATGAAATCAAACCTCAAAGACAAGCTGTTACTGACCAAGGATCACAAAGCTGTGAAAAGGCAGCGCTAGAATTTAACACCAGGTCTGTTTCAATTCAAAGTCTTGTTTGAGCTTTTCATGTTTTTGCTTAATGGTTTGCTTGCTTTCCATTCAGGGCTCTCTTCCATATAAACACAAGTCGGCTTTTAAAGAGGTTTGGTGGAATGGTCACCCCAGGGTTCCCAAGAAGGTGGCAACTTGCTCTCCTAAATTCTGAGCTCTCTTGTTTTGGTCCACATTGGCCCTTACTCTACAGACCATGGTGCCTGGCAGCCTCTTTGGGTGGAGGGTGGTATGAGTTTTAAGCCAGAATTAGGCCGTCAGTATAGATAGGTAAATCCAGTCAGGTGGATCAAGGGAATTTGGAGACTGCCCCCTGAGGGACTGCAATGGCTTCTCACAGTCCTTCTTCCACCGTTATCAGGGTAACCGGCCCTGCTTCAACCTGTAGCTAAGGTAACCTGTCCCAGGAACTGTCCCTCCCTACATGTAATGTTAATTACACCCCCTTCCTGCCCAGATCACTCCACCTTGGCCCCTCCAGCCCATCTGCTTCTCACCTTTTGGCCATCCTAGCAAAGTGTCTCCTGGGCCTAGTCACATACACAGGAAGGAGAGAGATAAGGGGAAGAGAGCAGGAGAACAAAGGAAAAACAACCCTCACTTCCTGGGATTCTAAGATACCAGGTATGGCCCCTTTCCCCCTTCCCCCTTCCCGGGAGAAATCTCTTACTCCTTTTTAAATAAACCCTACTTTATATGCTTACCTCAGCGCACTCCTCTAGTGTTATACTTCAACATGTGAGGAAGCAGAACTTGTCACCAGTAACCAGCAGTATCATGTTTACTGAATCTATCAAGGAGAAAGAGTGGGAGAAAGAAGCAATGATTTAAGGAATTTATCTCAAAGTCTCTGTTTTATAATTAATAACCATCATTGTTATAATTTTTAAAGATAAAAATACTTAGTCTTAATACTTAGTCTACTGAAAAAAAAAAAGGTTGTCCCACCCTTTCATAACTTTAGTTTTGGCTCCTCACTCATTAAGGTGTGATTCATCTTTTCTAATACAAGAATGGCTGCTTTTCCTCTAACATACCAGGAATCTACATCCATATTGATGGCCTATAATTCTGCTTCTTTATCTGATTTTTTTTTGTGTGTGTGGATAAAGAATAACAAAAAATAAAAATAAATTACTTCAAACATAAGAAGCATAGACAAACTCTAGATAGGGCAGAGGGGTTAGAGGGGAAAGGAGGGGGCATAGGGTTATTATTGATGGTGGAATGTGATGATCATTATTATCCAAAGTACAGGTATGAAGACATGAATTGGTGTGAATATACTTTGTATACAACCAGAGATATGAAAAATTGTATTCTATATGTGTAATAAGAATTGTAATGCATTCTGCTGTCATACATAAATTTAAAAAATAAAATAGAATCTAGTCATTGCAAATTATATGACTTATCCAAAAAAACATTTTTGTAATTCAATATTATTGACTAAATTTGTTTATCTCTTCTATGCCTTTGATATTGGATCAAGACAATTGGGGTTAAAAGATTTTCTTTTGTTCACTCCCAGTCTCGGACTGTTACATTTGCCTTGGAATTATGGCTTAATCCTGTGTCTGCACACAACAGTGGACATAACCAGCCAGTCAAAGACCCAGCTTGAACACAGCACCTCTGCTTTATTTCACCCTACTCATGTGGGAGTTATTTATTGGAAGGGATTTTGTTCTGATCATTCACATGGTTCCTAGAAGTGTATAGAATTACATTGAAATGAAATTTTGTTATAGTTCTGTAGTCTAGCTCTGAAACACAATTCTCAAAGAAAAAAGATGTTTTATAAAAAAAATATAAAGGGGAGGGGAAAGTCAAAGTATGGCTGCTACTATTGCCATATTTTATTTTCCACAACTTTCAGGAACTAAAGAAGTTAGAAGTAAACATACCTTATCAGAAGTTCAGAGGAAATCAAATTTTATTCACGGAACAATTATTTTGTAGGATATATTGTGTGTCAGAAACTATGCTATGAATTTGACTTACTTTATATTGTTTATCTGTAGCACAACTTTGAGTTAGGTTTTATTATACTCATTTTTAGAATAGGAAATTAAGTCTTAATATGATTCTGTAACTATTTCCAGACCATACATTTAGCAAACGGTGGAACTGAAATCTGATCCTTAGTCTGACAATCTCAAAAGCCCACTCTCTCTCCACATCAATAATCTCTTTTCTATATACAGATAAAACCCACAAACGTAAATTACTTACTCTATATTGATAAACAATATAGGTCCTCATACAAACCAATTATCTAAAAGTGAATCACTGAACTTTTGCTATATAACTAGCAACTTTAGTCTGGGGCACTCAATAAAATGATAAATTTATTAAAGGCTTCAGTCCTGCTGAGTCTTGTCTTTGTCACCTTACATAAATAACATTCAGCAGTGAAATCTGTAATAGCTTAAAAGTAAGGACTGTATTTCTAGATGCTAGGGACACTGCAGGAGCTAAACCCAGGCACTTGTTTCCATGGGACAGACAGGTCCCTACCTTTTGCCCGCCAAGACAAGCACTAGCTAGGTACCCTCATTACGTTCTGGAGATGGATGTGATACAAGAAAACTTACTTGGACAATATTCTTTTCCTCATGAATAGCACCCAGTTAAAGAGGGCACGTGATAGCATTTACAGGATCAGTATTCTCACTTGTTTACCTCAGGAATGAACCTAGGTATATCAAGTTTAGTTGTTTGCTTTATTAAGTAAGTCCTTCTACAAATACTGTATTGGTGGTACAAAACATTGGGTCATGTTCTGGTCATACTCTGATTCAGCCAGTCAAAGACCCAAGCATTAAAGTATTCAAAAAGTATTAAGATTCCTAAATATTAAAATAGTACAGGTTCCATGGACAGATTTCTATAGAAGTATGAAACGTTATATTTGAAAGGGATATAGTGAGCATCTTCTTCAATTCTTTGATATTTCATATTTGGAAATTGAGCCACAAAGAAGTGAATTGGGGCTGAGGATATAGTTCACTGGTACAGCACATGTTTAGCCTGCCCTGGTTTATATCCATTAGCACAAGAAAGAGAGAAAGAAGTTAATTGACTTGCCCAAGATTGTTGATATTTATGAGGCACATTTAGTCATGAGGACTCCTTCTACATCAAGTTACTTGAGACTGCTGAAGAGAACAGAACCCACACCCCAGAAACTCAAAAGGTAGGAATTGATCAGGACAAATTAAATGAATGTAGCCAGTCTGATTCCACAGAGAGCTAAATGACTTCCTTTAATGCTCCAAAGCAGTTGAAAAGGTAACATAACATTTTGGGGGTTTTAATTGGCTTTCATTTATACATCGCTCACTCTGTGTTTTTAACTCTCTGTTTCTTTGTTTTAATAAACTGGATAGTTTTTCTGACCTCAGACTGACACACTCACATTTCTCAAGAATGAGCATTCCCTGTTTAGCTTTCCATCTTAAACAGCTTTCAGAAATGTAGTAAAGGTCATACAGAAGAAATCAGTTTCCAAAGAACAAAAACTGCATGCCCTATCTCAATGGAAACCCTATTTGTTGCTTTTTTCAAAAAAAAAAATCCATATAATATTATGTGAAGGATATAATGTTGATTGAATCTAATAAGTACATAAATTTATATCAAATAACATATCATATTTTCCAAATATTCCTGAGTATTAAAATACACTGAATAAACCATATGTTTGTCTATCAGGTATTCTCCAGCCTCACCTTCCATTTTTCTCCTAAATAAACATGATGCATAATTGTAAATTATGTCACTTCAAATTGATATACTCATCTCTCTCAAAAGCAATTTAAAGAAATTGCCACAATTATGCTTATCTTGAATGCCCCATTCCAACTGTTGTAAGTTTTTCCAAACTCTATTTCACTTAATCCCATTTCTATCTATACACATTTATGTTTATTCCCATGTTGGGTTTGAGCTGAAAAACCAATCTTACATAGCCAAACCCTATCTATCCAAATGCTACTGAGCAAATGAAAAATTGTTTATTTTCTCTGACCTTTTCCAAACTCTCAAACCATAGAAATATCTCTCTCCTTTCAACATAAGTAGCATTTAACCATTTCTGCCACTTAATTGACATTTAGGAAATTTTATCTGAACTCAACAGATGTATATTCCCTCAGGACCCATTTTGACCTGTGACCTCATTGGTAATATCTTGTTGAACATCATTAGTATAGTTAGTGCCTCAAAGTTAAACAGTGACATGAGACATTAACCCAAAAAGACAGAATCAGAGAAGAAAAAAGGCAGTGAATGTGCCTTTCAGTAAATAATGGGTATATCTGTTTAGAGGAACAAAGGGTTCCTTAAGCTAGAAGTGTGGCTATTATGCTTCACTCCTCTAACACTACCTTTCCCATACAATTATCCAACAGAACTGTTAATTCTGCTTACCTAAGATCTCTCAGATCTAAATCCAGAATCTTACCTTGCTATTAACTACAGTACTTATTTCTTCTTTATAAATATCTATTGGTGACCTGAGGATACAGCTCAGTGGCAGAGGGCTACCTAGCATACACAAGGCCCTTAGTTCAATTCCTGGTGTTACAAAAAATTAAAATAAATAAATTATATTTATTGAACACCTACTGTATGCCAAGGACTATTCTACATTCTGAGAAGAAATTTTTTAAAGTATCTCTGTCATTTTGGAACTTATATTCTAATGGATGAAAACAAATAAAAAATGATAACAATAAATGAGCTGAAGAATAAATTCGAGTTAATAATTGCTAAGAAAAAAAAATAAACCAGAGTATAGGTAGGGGCTAAACAGTAAAATTTAAAATAGAATCATTAGTAAAAAGTTCACTGAGAAAGCAACATAGGAGCACATATTTGAGGAGTGGGGGTTGAGGGAGGAGGCCAAATTGTTAAATGAGAAAAATACCTGGTCCTAGGTGTAAGCAAAAATAACCAAAAACAGGACCAGACCTCAGATTAAGCAGGTGGAATGGCACATTTTTCAGGGAAGGAAATATCAACTGGTTACAAGAGGGGTCCACTTTTTATAGGTCTTAATGAGAGTTAATCACAGCTGAATGTTTAGTGTGACTTAATCATCAGAGACTTGGGACGTGCTGGCTGGGAAGTCAGGAAACTAGTTGTGCAGGTTAAAAAGCTGTAAAATCTCAAAATTCATCCTTACTGGGATAAAAATCCAAAGCCCAGAGCCTGTTTGCTGGCCTTCCCCTCCAGGACTCATTGTTACTGGGAAGGGATGAAATTCCAGGGCCCAGGGCCTAATGTCTACCTCTTTCTCCCTGGACTCATTGTCCTCCCTCCTCCCTGGGGGCTGTCATTCCCCTTTTCTTAGGGGATGTTATTCTCCATATCCTTCACTAGGTAAAGGGAATAGCAAATGCAAGGATTTGAACTGGGGACAAGTCTGTCCAGCCTGAGAAAAGGAAAGGGAGCCAGTGTGGGACCCCAGGAGAGGAGCTCAGGGGAGCTGGGTGAGGGACACTCCAGGGGAACTTCAGCCTTTCCTCTGAATGAGATGAGGATTCATTGGAAGATTTTTAGCTGTGGAATAGGATCTGATTTGTAATATTCTCTAAGGAGAACAGACTGCATAAAGGTTCCATATTCTGCTGTGGTAGATGAAGCAATTCAGAACAATCCTCCTGCTGAGAAATAGAAACGCAGAATTAAAAAAAAAAAAAGTCTCAAAAGCATTGGAGAGTCAAAAAGGCAGTGGAAAATTATAGGGGCATATTTGAAAGTAGAAGAGGGTTTAAAAGTTAG